ATCAAACATTCGGAAGAACTGTCTTGAAAGTTTCGGAACGAATTAGTATTCCAGAGTTACTTCATTAGGAAATCTACTGAGCTGGCTGCTTATCAAGGAACAACATGATTTATTATTTTTGTTTTTAATCATGAACCACATCCTTGTACAACAAAGCCGAGTTCCCTATATTAACAACATCATTTTGATAAAAACAATAATAAATATAATAACAAGGAATATAAGGACAAAGGAATATTTTACGTATATATATATATATATATATATATATATATATATATATATTTTTTTTTTTTTAATTCGTAATCGCCTCTACCCTAGAGGGTCATTGGCGGCTAGTTTTCTATATTCTATTGTAATGTTTCGTCTCTATTAAGTATCGCAGTAGGGTGGTGACTCCATCTTCGTTGTCTCTCAGTATCTCTTTTATTGTTGTTAGAAGTTTCAATTTTTGCCGAATGTTGTTGAACTCGTGGCACTCTACTAACAGGTGTTTTACTGACTGTGGTTTATTGTTACACTTTTCGCACGTGGGTGGTTCTAGACCTCTGAGAAGGTACCCGTGGGTAAACAGGCAGTGACCAATTCTTATTCTACACAATATAGTTTCTTCTCTTCTGGATATTCTGGTGCTAGTAGCCCACTTGTTGCAGTCTCTTTTTATTTCTAATAATTTTGACTGTTCAGTTTTCCATCTATTTACCCAATTTTCCAACAACTTCTTTTTTGTTGCGTGAACCCAGTCCTCCACTGTGGTACAATTTATTATATATATATATATTATATTATTATATAATATTATATATATATATATATATATATATATATATATATATAATATTATAATTAATAGTCAAGTATTCATCATTTATATACGTTTTTAAGTTATTGCCATAAATAGTGATAACACTATCACTTTACGAATATTTAACTATATCATTACAGCTTTTAATAACGAATTTTAGCAATGAAATTAGGTAAAAAAATTATGTTTATCTACATGGTTATAAGAAAATAATATTTCTACATAAAATTAAAAGTATGTAACATATACAAGTTTTTTTTTTTCTTGCTGAGACCACTAGCGGATCCAGGATTTAATTTTTGGGGAGGGCTTCAGCCCGAAAGATTTTTTTTCATATATATAATGATAATTAAATTTAAAAATAAAAAAAGAAAGATACTAACTACCTATATGAAATGGTGTTTAAGTGATTCTTATAGTCCTAATTAATGTAATTACACGAACAATATTACTTTAAAAGATAGTTTTTAATAGTTTTTTCTATAAAACATGGTTATATTTTACCTGGAGTGAGAGACTTCAGCCCGAAAGCTCCCCCGTAAATCCGCCTGTGGCTTGGACATATAAAAATTTTAAAACTATTATGAGAGGTTTTTCTTTTCAGGGGCTAGGTTTACAGAATTTTCGAGCTTCTTCTTGCAATAAATGTTTATCAACTAATTTGAAAACAAGAAGTAAAAAAATAAAGAATGTTTCCCTATCAACTAATCGGGAATATATATTACGTATAACCCACATTTCTGGAGGAATTAACATATATTTTAAATACGTCAATGTCAGTGTCTTTAAAATACTTTATTAAACTTCCCTTAGGTACGCAGTAAAATCAAAAATTAATTTCACGACTCTCAAATAAATTTATTTAATGCGAAAAACGGGAAATAATTAAATCCGTTTGTATAATTTCCTAATAACTCGCCTACTCGAAACGGAGGAAATATATATTTCAGGATAATAAAAATCAAATGTTTCGCATTTTTTTTTTCTTTTTAACTGAATAAACATAAACACAATATAAATCTCTGACATTTATCCCGATTAGTTACGATCCAGCTATCCCATAATAGCGTGAAGGAATAAAGGACAGGAAACGTGTAATCGCTAATTTCGAAATTTGTTGTAAAGAAGAGAGACATGACATAGGGCCGGAATATTCCATAAATTAGCAATATCAAAAATTAAGGCTACAATATGGAAGGGAGGACAATGAGAACCCCAAGCCAATATTTCACCTCTGATTTACGTCTCCTTATACCGGCTGAGGCCAGGCTCTGACTTTGAATGCATAATAATTTTATAAAATCAAATCTAAAGCTAACAATCCCGCAATAAAATATTTATTTATATGCCTCGGTGATATATGGGCGTGCAGGCGCCAGAATGATTCCTTTATTACACTTAATTAAATCTGCAATTAAAAGTGGTCGTATGCTGCGGGCATTGTTCTGTAAATTACATTATTAATAATTACATAAAATTCATTCAACGTAAATAGAATTTGGTAATAGTAATATTTTTAACAATAGGGTTTTTATTGAAATAGGGGCTTTTATTAAAAATATGAATAAATAATATCGGTCTATCTTCATCTTTGTGTAGTTTTCTAATTATTTTTTAAATTATCCATCCATATCTTCAAATTTTAGATACTGTAATTTTCTAGGTTTTTCCCCATTACCCAAAGAAGTCAACAAATTCCCCTATACCTGCCCTTACTTTGGTTTTCCAGTTTTAAGTGAAACTCCTAGCAACACGCCTGCAAGTCTCTATTGTATTCTTCTAATGTTATTTACTTATTTTTGGTTTCTTTTTTCATTTCTCTCTCCACATTCCTTTATGTCTATTATTTCCTTTTTCCTTTTCTTTCAATCTCTCCTGTAGATCTGTAGAAGTATATTCACATTTGCATATATTATATATTACACTACAACAATTGTTACCATCTATTTACTTCAGTTTAGGATCTTGTTACTTAGCTCACTCTGTTTATATTTTAGAGTACTTACTGTTTATAATTTTAATAAGCTTATTCACATTGTTAATGATTTTTTGTCTAAATATTATGTAACTTACACATGTCTCTATCTTTTTGTATCTTGTCCGTTCTAGCCCTAAAGTAGACCTGCAAAGTCGGGTCAAAATGTTGGCTTTTAATAAAATAGTTTTGCCTATGTATGACCGACGCCCCCGACCATAACCTTCCATTATAATGCAACGGTCAACTATTATATATTCAATATTTATTTAAATGTATCACTATATACCAAAAAAAAAAACATTACTGTACATAAATCTCAACTTAAATAATAATGATATAAAGGTGTGTTAAACAATAATGTTTTTCTAAAACTGCGGTATCTGTAGTATGTTTGGAGAATGATAGAAAAAAATCGCGAATAATTCATGATTTAAAAAAAAAGAGCTTAGTTTTGATTATCCTCTCGAAAATCTTCTTTAAACGGTCGATTTTACGGTAAAGCAACCGCTAATTACTTAAATTAAATATAAATATAACAAATTTGCTATTTTCGCTGCCGCGCAGGTGCAAATTGCATGGAATATAAATAAATAAAATAAAATATTTGTTTAGTTATGGCTTCTTAAAAAAAAGAAGAAAAAAAGTGACTTTTGGTAAAAAAGCATAAAACATTAATCTCCTACTTTTCTGTGAAAATCATTGTTCATTTAAACATTTTTTATAGCTCAGGACACCCTGTAAACACGTCAGTAGCGTTGTGAAGTCACTATCCATTGGTATAAAAAAAAAAAAAAAATGTGAAGCAGGCAGAGACAATGCAATCGTTCTATGGTCATACGTCTTTTATTCCATATGTTCCAATCAAAGCACAGGGTGAGATGACCTAATATTTAACATTGGCTTAGTTGCAAAATCAGGATTAATTTTTAAAAAAAATAGAAATCGCGGCATTTACAGAAACAATAATGCTCCTTTAGTCGAGCTCACTGCTTCTCCCGTTGCATCAGCAATGGACCGACCCTGGGAGTAGAAGAACCTCCTGAGCAACACCTAGGCTTTATAAAATGGGTACTCTTTATTAAAAAAATAATTATAGATGAAGTCCTGGCGGTCAAGTGTGAACTCCTCCTTGCACAACGTTGGCATTGAAGCAGTACTTTTTAGTAAGTACTGCGCCGAAATCATGGGTGCAAAAGAGGTAAAGGATTTTTAGGAAATATTTAATTTGGAATATTTGGTGTTGAACACACTCAAAAAAGTAATTAACATACTCATTTTACATTAATTAAATTTTTACGTATTTATTTTGAAATATCATTTGGTTGGTTGTTTTGACGTTATCGGCGCAAAACATCTAGGTCATCAGCGCCTTATTAAAATATTTAGTTGGTAGGAAATAAAAAATAATATAAAAATATTATTTGTTATTATATTATTTATAAAGAAATATTTGTTATAATATTATTTATTAAAAAATATTATTTGGTTTTTAAATCATAGTGGTATTTTTTAGTTTTTCTGCCTTCCGACAAAACGGGTTTTGAAAACATTATAAATGCTGGTTATGCTGCTAAATAAATGCTGTCAATCATCTTATTCAAGATCATCAACTTCTCTTTCCAGTTTCACTCGCTACTGGGATCCATTTTAAATCATATGTGTTCCCCAAAATAGATCTTGGTCTTGCACTTTGCAAGAACAAGACCAAGACCATGGTTGGTAAAAAAAAATCGATTTTTTAAAGTTACTATATTTTAGTATATTAGTTACTGTGTTAATAATTGGTATTATTAATTTCTAATTTTTTATTCGGGCTTAGTTTGGTTTCTCCTGGCTAAAAAATTACAGTAATATCTCTGTAGTAATAAGCTAATAAGTAACGGCAAGACTCTTGCGTAAGACCAATACCATAACTAAAACTGCGTTGGCAAGAGCAAGACTCGCCTAGGTCTCGCATTTGGGCAACACTAATCATAAGCGGTTTTTTTTTTGTCTTCTTCTTCTTCACCTTTACGGCTATGCGGGGTTTTCACCATGCCAGGGGAGAGAGAAGGGGTTTAATGACAAAGTTAAAAGCCCTTCAGCGCTATCACGCGAAAAAAAAATCACCCCTCCCCCCCCCCCAAAAAAAAAAAAAAAAATTATAAGCAGTTGAGGACAGTGGAGTAGTAGCTCTAGGAGTGGCCAGCCCTCAATCAGACCAGGACTAAATGATTCATGGCGAAAAACCGCACTTCCTCGACCAGCTATAACCTTAGAAGTGGATACCGCAGGACCTACCGCCGCAGCTTGTACAATATTGATACGGCAAATAGACTCGAATTAACACTCGTTCGCTGGTACATAATTCAACCGCCACCCGCTCCACACACGGACCCGTCGTTATGGGGACTCAAACACAATGCTTTCTTGTCACGGTTCATGTCCTTCAACTCGATAATTACATTGTCTCTGTAAAGTATGCAATGCGTTTTACTTCTTTATGCGATTATTTTATGAACATAGATATAATTGAAGATACGAAGATGAGTTTAGATTAAATAATCGAGCATAAACATATGAGGTATTACTACCATTTTGACGAATCATCATGTAAGACTGAAACGATAAAAAGATGCTATAGCGTCTTCTGTTCTTCCCAAGGAATAGTGGGTTGGTCCTATAATTATATAATAAGAGAAAATGTTGAGTTTAATATTTATCATCTGCCTTGTACCTAACCGTCAATAGTTAACTACAAGTGTTAGTCAATTGGGCAACTATCCAATCTAGAATACTGTATAATTATTGTACCGGTCATAGATTTAGAAGTAGAAAAACTGAGAAGATATGTCCAAGGTAATTCTACTGTATAACAGTAAATCCTTTTAATTTATTGTCTCTCAGTAAAGTTGAAATGTGTCAATCTATACAAGAGGAAAAGTTTAACATGTCTCCTATCATTGCTTTGATGAAGCTCCAAATATTCTAATCATTGGTTATGAAGATTTTTTTTTTTTTTTTTTTTTTTGTGCTCTACTAAACCATCGAATTCCTCTCGCATCCAATCCTTACAATCCAAAATCCTACGTATAATCCTCAATGCTCCTTACTTTGTCACTAATGAAATTATCCATAAAGATCTTAATGTTCCTTATGTTGTTTCAAATCTGGCCCAATCCAGATACCTATCCTTCCATAATAAACTTCAGAATCATCCCAACCCTCTTGTTTCTAACCTTGCTTCCTCTTCAATTCCTAATAACCCTCCGAAGCGTCTGAAAAGAAGATGGCCCCGTGATCTCCTAATGTAATCATATCATTAGAGTGCTACCATTGGGTAGTTACTCAGCAAGTGTATTCATGTCATTATATCTATTATGTCCAAATTTACTAGATGTATTTATGTAATACAGTTGTAAATGTCATTAAGAAATAAAAAAAAAAAAAAAGATTTTTTTTAGGTTTCGATGACTTTAGAAATAATGTTATCTGGTTGTGTTGACAGGTAACGGGGAGACGGGTACGCCGCTGAGCAGGCTGCAGCTGGACCCGGGGGCGCTGAGCAGCGTCCTGGAGGCTGCAGGAGCGGACTGCCAGTGGTCGACGGCCCGCCTCAACTCGCCGCCGCAGGGGGCCCGCGAGGTGGCGGTAGCGGCCGGCTTCCTCTGCAAAAAGTGCCGCCTCTCCTTCACCAGGGAGGCGGCCATCGGCAACCACGGCTGCGGGCAGTCACCTGGCGGGGTCCGGATGGTGCGCCTGAGGGCGGGGTGCAAGAACTGCGAGGCCGTCTTCGAGTCAGCCCAGGACTACAGGCGGCACGTGGAGGCGGCGCACCCTGAACCCGCGCTCTCCCCCCGGCTCTCCGTCGAGATGGAGGACGTCGTCAACCAGATTACCGCCCTCGCCGCCCAGGCCCTCAAGCCGGACCCCAACGCGAACATCTTCCTCCCCGTCCCCCCCGCCACTGGCCAGTAATGTAAATAGTAGAAGCGTATAAGACACAACAAGGAGTTATTGAATCGAGAAATTTTATTATAACAGAAATAAAATAAATTTTAATGTTAAGGTTTTATGTAATAAGGAATAATATAATTTATAATTAAAAAAAAAAAAATGTAAGGGCATCGCCCGTAACTACACCTCGCTATTATCGCTGTAAGGTTGGCAATTTTAATATTATATTCGATTATAGAAATGGCTCTCATGAGGAGCGATATTATTGTAAATGTTACTGGTCGACTTGACGCGACTAGACTACGGGCCGGGGCGATCGCTTTGTCTGTTGGCGGCGAAGCGGCGCGCCGGGCCCCAGCGCGGGGTGCGTTTGCTGGGAGCGTACCCCGCCCGGACCACGATATCCCCAACCCAAGGATATGGAAACGACAACACACAGCACCCCATCCGTAAGTGCTATCTCACATTCCAATCTACGATCCCAGCACCCAAGGTTCCTATCTTTAGCTAACATTTACTAAGGTTCCTGTTCCAAAATGCTTTTCTATATAATTAATAATTATAAGAATTTTAATTGTACTATTTAACAATTAGTTATGTGTGCAGGTATATTGTTGGTGTTATTCGATTAATAAGGGATTAAATTATTTAAAGAAATCCATATAGGTAAGGGAGGGGGAAGGGGGCGCAGAGTGGAAGGGCGTTTTGAATATTTTTGTTCCCTGATGTTTGGCTTAGAATTGGCCCTTAATAATTTCGCGGCAGATTCCACTTCAGCTCGCCGGAGCCCCTCCTTTACGGAACTTTTTTCAGATTTTAAAGGAAAAACAACTGAAAAAGTGTTTAATAAAAAAAATTAAAAAAACTGTTCCTCAAATTATTTACATTGATCATAAGTTTGTTAAAGATTTTTGTGTTCTATTTGATATACGGTATATGTTCCGCACAGAGGTATCTACAACAGAATACGTCTTGTTATTCTGTGATTAAACTAGCTTGTTGATTTTTTCACAATTTTCTATTTCTGATTCCTTAAAAACAATGATTGAAATCGGTTTGAATTACTTTCCGATTAAAAGGGAAAGGTAAATAAAAATATTATAAATATATATATATGTATGTATACATGTATTGAAAGAGTAATTTGGTTCCTATGTCGATTTTTTAAGTGAATTTATTGAAAACAATTCAGTGGGTAATCAGAAATTTCGGCAATAATATTTTAAGGTTTAAGGTTTTAAAAGAGAAAAAAAAATTGAAAAGGAAACAATATGTTTTGATGTAATATAATAAAATTGTTTTACTATCGAGCAGTTTTTATGTTGGATTGTTTTTCTTTTACTGATTTTGAAATTTGACACAAACGACGTACAAATTACCGAAACCTCGCCCAGATACAATGATGATTAAATTATATGTAGTTCAGTGTACGTATGTGGATAACTATTATGAATAAAATATTTAAACTAAATATAAATATATAAATATATATTATTGAGGAGTTTCATGAATGAATATTAAAAAAAAAAAAATGAAATGAGCTCGTATCCCATCATTGATTTTTCTATGGTTCAGATCACTGTAAATTTTTGGAAGTAAATAATAAGATGAAAAAAATGTAACTTTTTTTTATTATATGACGAAAAAGAATCTATTTTATAGTATGTGAGTATGTTCCTATTAGACCATATCCTCTTCTCAGAATAGTTGTTAGTTAGCAAAAGTTGATTTGTCAAATCTTTTATCACAATACGAGGAAAATTATTAGACTGTATCATTTGGTTGTTCTGTTGTCATGCTCTTGGCGAATGAGAAAATACCTTATTATTATTAACACCTGTATAATTTTCTGATTATTTACAGTTATTATTGTTTTTACTAATTGTGAAATACAATTTATTATTTTCATGTAATTTATGTTAGAATATTTGTAAGTTGGTGACGCTCAGGATTTTAAGCAATGCGACATTTTTTTTATTTTAGCCCTTAGATTTCTTATGGTAGCTTATTATACGTCACTTGTATGCGAATCATACCATATTGTAATTGTTTCTAGTTTTAAAATTAATTTACCATCGTAAATTAATTTGATACATTGCAACGAAATGATCTCAATAATAATGTTTTATCCGATTTGTAATTTAAAATAATTAGGTATTTAGCCATTGCTATCTTATCTCTCTGATGCTTCACCAGCAATTACAATGAAGAAATTAATTTTATGGAACGGAAAACCCTAGTACTGACTTTTTAGTATTCCTTAGTTACTTCATTTATTGTATTTTATTTGTATTTATAAAAGTTTTATTATTTATTATTTTTAAGTGTGATATAAGGTGTTTTTAAGTATCGCCATTTTTTATTTATAAATATTATTATCATTTGTACATTATTGTTTTCGATTATGTGAACTAAACCACTTTGTTTTTATATATAAATTATATATATATATATAGATAAGTTTAATTAATTATTTATTGCTTATGTACATATTTTATTAGTTATTGTAATTGCTATTATTATTATTGGTTGTTTATTGGGTTACTGTGTTAATTGAGGGAATGGGAAGGTATTTATTTATGAAAATATTAGAAAATGATATTTTGTGTTGAGATGCATAGTTATATTTCTTAATTAATGGATGTTCCTCTGTAATTTCCCTCGCACTGTGAGAAAATATTTGTTGATTAAATAAATTTTTAAAAAAAGAGAAACTTGCATTTTAAATAAATAGAAGTTGTTTGTTTTCAATCTTGGAAAAAAAATGTATAAAACAGAATAAAACAAGATAGTTTATGACAAAAAAACTGTGTTGTTTCCTTTATCCAAAAAAAAAAATCATTATTGATTTTGTAAAAAAAAAATATATATGATGAAAAAATCCCTTTATTATTTTCTAATGCATTAAGTAGTTCAAATAAATTATTAATTGTGATACTAAACTGTTTCTTTATTATACAAAAATCCTGTGTCTTCACATTTCCTCTTTGAATATTCCATTGGTGAAACATTATTCAACATGTTAAGAGAACATCGCACATCGTTGACAGAACATCATTTTTCAAAATAACATTCTGGAGGATTGAAATACATCAGCTATATTTCCACATAAACAAACTTTTTAGGTTTATTTTTTATTAATAAGAAAAATATACAATGTAAAATCAGTAAAATTGCTAATTTTTCAGTCTAGAATGGAAGCAGAACACCTAATACATAATATAAACTATACAGGAGTACATTTCGTCATTTCCATTACTATTTTCCATGTAATTGAAACGTAAAATAAAAACAAATATCGTACAAATTGTATTAACTTATCAAAAATATTACAATTTTATTTTCAAACTGGATAAAAAAAAAAAAATCGTAGTAGGTTTAAAAATAGATGAAAAATGGATTAACTACATAAAGAAATGGAACCGAAACGGTAACAGTCACGTAAAACCTGGGTTTGATAACTTCTTTTTATTGAATAATATTACATTCTGTCAGTAGGACAATAATTATAGAGAGGTAAGATCACATTCACACTACCACCCTAAAATACAATATAAAATAAAATAAACAGAAGCAAATTAACGACTAAATAATAATTAGAAACAAAAAATCGAAAGGCTCAAAAAAAAAAAAAAATTGCAATAGTTCTTCTTATATGAAAAATTCAGCATACTTATTGTGAAACGAACAAATATAATATTGATTATTTAAAAATAATTTATAAATTTTATTATATTTATAAATGTTGAGAAGTTTTTTTGGAATATTTTTATGTGCATATGGATATACTAGAAAATATCTAAACAAAACAATTACATTTATTACGATCTGTATAAATTAAACATGAAAAGAAGGGGGTAGTCTTCATAACATGGGAACATTTTTATAAGTTTTTTCAATTAAAAATGATGTTAAAAAACCTAAAAATATTTTTGATTTCTTAGTTTTCACAACAAACAAAAATAAAAATGCCTTATTTTGACAGTCTAATGTGTAAAAAATTTTATAAAAATATTCTTTATAACATATGCTTATACTTATCCACATTTGTGGTAGAAAATGTACAAGAAAATCACGTGGAAATGGAAGTGTACACAAGAGTGGTGAATGAATAAAAAAATCCTAGAAAATGTTTCTATGTAATCATCACTGGATATAAATGGACATTTAAATAATAGGAATATTTAGGTTGTGATAAAATAATTGCTTACCTGCAGACCTGCGCCTTGGCAGCTAATCGAATTTTCTTAATCGATTTTTATTTTTCTTATTTTTTTCAATCATGTATATTATTTGTTAAAATTTTTTTTTTACTTCAAACTATTGGGGGAAATCGATGTTCTCGCTCCACCAACGTTTTTATTGGAGGGGGCGGTCAACCTCCTTCCCCCCTCCCCCCCATAGTCGGCGCGTGATCAAAGAGTTATGATCAAAAAGCATATACAATAAATAGAAATAAAATAACTTAAAAATAAGTTAATTAAAAAAAGAAACACAGACATAACAATATATATATATATACTATTTACAACCAGGCGAAAGAACATCGAGGAAGGTTTGTCACTCCAACTATGTAAGGAAGGAAAAGAATGCAGGACCCCAAGAGATCCCTGCGCTACTCTACAGCGTCACTGTTGCTAAAGCCAGTGGACGCGCTTTAGCCACATGCACTCATGATAACTTTCAATAAATGAAGATTCAAACAGACTTACAGTTTTACTTTCTTAACATTTAACTATGTAGAAAAACAAAAAAAGTAAAATATTTAATAAATGTGTTAATTAACTATTGTGAAATATAACTGATTAAGAAGTGATACTTTCTAACTGTTACTGCTACAGAATACTGAATACACCGCTAAGTAATCATATTTTATGTGTTTTCGTCATGAATAGGAAAAAATACACATTATTGATTGGTGAGATTTCATGTGTTTTGACGAGGTTGAAATGCATCGAAAATAAAAATCCATCGAATATCTAGATAATCAACTTTCCAGATGATAACTTATTTTATCAGCAATAATCGATGAACTGCGAAAACTAATACTACATTTTCAAATGCCTCCTTAAATTCATAAAAAGTACTAACAACTTTTAAAGTTTTTAATTGCATTTTAAAATTGCTATTAATTATTTAACACAAAAGTTCAAAATCAAATAATTATATTTAGAATGCCGTTTCAAAATATAAAACTTCATTGTTTATGTTTTATTAAACTTATTATTATTATTTATTGCCTTGTAGGCAATACGGGTGTCTGCAATAATAAGATGTTAGGCAGGCCAGCTTAACATCTCACTGCTACAAGTAAAAGTTGATCTTCTGCTCTTTATGTTTACGTTCTTTATGTTTTATTCAACTTAAAATCGTCCAAAAAGTATTAAAATAGAAAACAAGAATAAAAAGAAAATGTTATCAAAGACACAGTGCGTACAAGGTCTCCTCTCTTTACCAATCGGAAATAGAAGAATGGAAGCTCAAGCTCTAAACAGAGAAGTTCAAGGTAAGTGGAAATGAACGAAATATAAATAAGTACTAATGGTTTATACATAAAATTATACCAAAAAAAAATGTATAGAATAGAATAGAAACTTAATTTTATTCTGGGACGAAGTCCCTTTAGAATAACAAAAAAGTTCAAAATTAAAGTATTATATCTGGCTTAAGTAAAAACAAACATAAAAAGTAAACATAAAGAAAAAAAGTAAAGAAAATATTAGTTAAACATACTATGTACAAAATAAAAAAAAAATCTATATACAAAACACTTGAAACTATGTACAATGGTAAAACATAAGTATTCATTTAAAAAAAAATAAATAAAAAATGCATTACATTCTTCATAGCAATATACTCTGTATTTCTGAAGAAAAAAAAAAAAAGAAAACGAAAAACAATCTGATAGTAAGTAATTAAGACATGAATTACATGTAAATATACCATTATGTGAATCATTTCGAATAATATATAAATTTACATAAAAGGTTAACGGGGGGGTGTCTGGCTGTATTTTGGGATAGAAATTGGAATAGGAGGGTTTTAAATGTAGATAGGGAGGGAGAATGCCGAATTTTGATATGAAGGGAATTTCAGAAATTAACAGAGCGAGCAATAAACGAGTTTTGGAACGAGGCAGATCTGTGAGAAGGAATGTAAAGGTCGGAAGGTCGAGATCTTGTGGAAAGGGAGTGGACTGAGGACTTGAATTGGAGAAGGTTGTAGGCGTAAGAAGGACGATGATTGTTGATGATATGGTAGAGGAACGTACCTAGGAAATATTGTCTTCAAATGGAGGGAAGGAGCCACTTTAACTCAGTGTTGTGGTGTGACACTTGAGAGTATTTCGGGGCACCAATTACAAATCTTACGCAGCTGTTCATAAATTCTCTCTATATATATATCAAATGGATTTTAATTTGAAGTACGTATTATGATACATAGTAGTTGTAATAATATAAGTACATAAAATATAACAAACATAATAAGTACAGTAAAGCTCGAAGCCTCATAACTAAGAATATCTAGACTGCCTGAAAACTTCACGACTGTATTGACACATGTTATGTTTCTTTATTCATATATATAATCATTTTCGTCAGATTATTGTTGCCAGCATCACATAACAGTAATTTCCTTTAAAGGATTTAGCAGAAAAGTGGGGGAGGAGACAGTCATCCAAAACTCTTTTAACTCAGGCATTGATCTCTAGCCATTACCCTCTGGCCCGGGAAAAAAACCCGTATAGGCTAAAAGGCGAAGAAGGAGAGGACAGAATGGAAATGAAAAGATGATAATTGAAGGATATATAGAAAATCAAATGCAACATTGGAAGTGTCTCGTTTTACCAAAGATAAAAATAAAAATAAAAAAGTGCAAACTTTCCGACCTCTTCTGTACATGATTTATACATCATTCAATCATACATCTTCAAACGGTTTTAACAATCCGATCATCCATAACTATCCCGACTGTTTCTTATTGCCATCTTATTCAACTCTTTGATATGTTCATATGACGCGGACTTTTCGTATGTATTAAGAAAAAAAATTATCAAACAAGTTGTGGGATAAAATGAATGTATAAATAGCATACATAATCTTTATCGTGTCACAATCTCTCATTGAGAACCGTTCTCCTCCGATATTATAAATCTCAGATTTACAACATTCCTTACTTTTATGCTCGTTTAATGGCGACTGTAAACCGGCCCGGTGTTTCACATTTGTTCAGTTTCATGTTCATGTAATGAGAGGCAAACGATAATGAATGAACAGGTAATGCTTCAACAGGGAATTTAAGATAATTACAAAGTGGATTTTGACTACTTCGTTAATGCCGTCCCAGGCTATTTCAATCATAGAGTTGCAATACCCAACTAATAATCATAACGATAAGCGACTTTATTGGGATCGGGACCGATCCGAAATTAAGCATGTACTGGCTGATAACGGCATTACTCAGTTTTTAATGTCTCTGCATTCCTCGACATAAAATTTAATGACGTCAACTCTCATTCACTATTGTATACCAAAGCTCATTAATAGCTTCCTGCAGTTTTACAACCGACTAATCCCAGCTATTAAAGTTATGATGCTCGTGTATATGGTCATTATTTGACAGAATTAGTAGCAACTTGAAATTGGGATTCAATCTGTAATATATTCTTAACACGAAAACTGACTATATGTCCAATACACAACAGTTTAACTGGATGGATAGGCGTAAATTTCAGTCGTTCCAACAAGTAAACAATAGGAGACAGTGTGGACTCCAACAATCCAGATGCTGGCAATTAATGTAGCAGTGCAGTCGTTGCCTCATTAATGTGTTGCAGTGACACAAGTCGAACCACCATTTACTCAAATACCGTGAAATGGGTGTAGTAGATTTCGAGGTTTCCAATAAATAGGGACATCTTGGTTCCTTTCATAAT